AAATATATGTTTATTAAATAAAGTCTAATGTTACAACTAATCGGGGATCCCTTTTAAAAAAAACTGAAAAAGCGTTTTATTAAATCAAATATCAAATAATTCAAGATCCCGCCCTACACTTGTTAAATGCCTTTATCAAATGGCAACAAATTGGCGGTTTTAATGGAATAGAATGGGTTTTTATGGTGTTATCCAGTGTGTTTCAGGACAACTTTTCTGAATCTCATCATTTATTTATCAGGTAACGTGTTCAGTGCAGAACGGCTCTACTCTAATAGACCTGACTCCTCTGGTTCACATCAGCGGATTCTACACGGCAACAGGTCGTTGATCTAAAGCATCACAGCTGAACAAACATTATTTAGTGACAAACATAAGAATAACACATTTAATTATCTTTTTTTATAATTACTTGTCCTCTCAGATGATGCAGTGCAAGACAATGATGGATCTCCAGACTTTTACATCAACATCTGTCAGCCTCTAAACCCCATCCCCGGGGTCTTATGTCCRCCTGGAGCTGCCGTCTGTTTGGACCCTGATAATGGACCGCCTAAGGTGAGAGAAACCTTGGAAGGAGTTAGGGTTGGGTGGCATTGATCATTTTTGTACTGTGATATAATCTTTAGAAAAGAGGGTGTGTGTGTGTGTAGAGTAATTAATGATTAATGGAGAAACATGCATAAAGCCAGATAGATCGTGTTTCTATCCAGTTGTAGAGTGAATTTTTATCGAACTTTTCAAAATGCGCAAAAAATTAAATAAATAAAAATTCAAATCTAGACTGTTTCCATCTAGTTTCCCTCTCGACAGTTTGCGAATAAACTAGGCTACGCAACACGTGATTACGTCAGACGAGGCTACGCAACACGTGATTACGTCAGAAGAGGCTACGCAACACGTGATTACGTCAGACGAGGCTACGCAACACGTGATTACGTTAGACGAGGCTACGCAACGCGTGATTACGTGAGACGAGGCTACGCAACGCGTGATTACGTCAGACGAGGCTACGCAACACGTGATTACGTCAGACGAGGCTACGCAACACGTGATTACGTCAGATGAGGCTACGCAACACGTGATTACGTCAGACGAGGCTACGCAACACGTGATTACGTCAGATGAGGCTACGCAACATGTGATTACGTCAGACGAGGCTACGCAATGCGTGATTACGTCCGACGAGGCTACGCAACGTGTGATTACGTCAGACGAGGCTACGCAACACGTGATTACGTCAGACGAGGCTACACAACATGTGATTACGTCAGATGAGGCTACGCTACACGTGATTACATCAGACGAGGCTACTCAACATGTGATTACGTCAGACGAGGCTATGCAACACGTGATTACATCAGACGAGGCTACGCAACATATGATTACGTCAGACGGGGCTACGCAACGTGTGATTACGTCAGACGGGGCTATGCAACACGTGATTACGTCAGACGAGGCTACGCTACATGTGATTACGTCAGACGGGGCTACGCAACACGTGATTACGTCAGACGAGGCTACGCAACACGTGATTACGTCAGATGAGGCTACGCAACATGTGATTACGTCAGACGAGGCTACGCAACACGTGATTATGTCAGATGAGGCTACGAAATGCGTGATTACGTCCGACGAGGCTACGCAACGTGTGATTACGTCAGACGAGGCTACGCAACATGTGAT